ATGTATTTCAGAAATAATCTGTTTTAGTATAGTAATAATAGGACCAGCAGATGGCGTGATGGTTATGTTGCTAGATTCCCATGTAACCAACCAGGGTTCGAGTCCCAGACCTGGTAGCTTCAGACACGCCAAGTGTGTGTCCATGGATGCCCAAAATCCCGAGGGGAGAATGGAGAAGGGATTGCAGCATGGCCATCCGCCCAGGGGATGATTTCTCGCTTTCTGTCTCTCTCTCTCTCTCTCCAGTGAGTGCACACATCCTATAGCAAAAATCTCTCCAAGAAAAATAAATAAATAAATAAAATGAAAATGAAAAGAAAATAGTACAGTAATATTTGGTACAGTGAGATTTGATAGTTATGTAACTTGAGCCACATTAAAGTGATGTGCTAATATACATGCATTGTCAGGGACCAGGGGTGGTGTAGCAGCAACACAACTGGATTCACATAGGAATGGGCTTGGTTTGTGTCCTGGGACCTCTCTGAATATGATGGGCACAGCTGCAGCCATGATTCTGTCTGACTGAGACCAGGGGTAGATCACAGCATGAAGACCATGCTGGGGCTTTCTCTCTCTGTTTCTCATTCTTAGAAGAAATAAATAAGCTTAAAAAATACATATACTGGGGACAGCAGGTGGCATAGTCATTAAGGTGTTGGACTCCTTCAGGGCTGACCACAGTTGTCTGAGTCCCAGACTTGAGAGCTTACTTTGTCTCTCTCTCTCTCTATCTCTTTCTCTCTGGTCAAATTAAAAAATATAAAAATAATAAATAAAATTAAGTGAAATAATACATACATGCATAAACAATCTAATCATGCATGTATGCAAATAATATTACTGTTTTGTACTCTGGGTCCTCTGTGTCTTATGCTTGAATCGGCCTCTCTGATGGTTCCAGAACAGGCCTCTGCGACCAAGGATGTTATCATTCCACGCTCTGGTCCTCTTAGGATGTGACAATTCTTTGACTAGGTAAGGCTAAATGCAGGCATATGTGCATGGATATCCAAAATCTCAAGAGGAGAATAGAGGAGAAAGGATTGTGGCATGGCCACCTCCCCCCGGGGGAGGGAGGTGATTTCTCATTTCCTCTCTCTCTGTTTCTCCAGTGGGTACACACATCCTAGACCAAAAATCCCTCTCTCTCTCCATTTTCTGTTGGTTAGGTCAGGCTTGTCTATGCTTAATTGGCTTTTATCTTCTTTAGATAATAGCGATTTGGGAAAAGATCGTGGTCATTGAGTTTTGGTTCTCTCGGCACTAGTCTTACTAAGAGGAGAAGGTGTTCAGTGGCCTGCAGACCCATGGAAGTCACTCAGTAGCTTATTTTAATGAAGTACTATGGACCCCTCCATCGATCAATTAACCTAGTAAAGCTGTTCCACAGCGTTCAGGGTTATGGGCTGGCTGGATTGGCCTTGGAGACCTGGAGAGCCCAGATTCTCCACTATCTCCTTCTGGCCACTTGTCCTGGGGGAACACAGATTTCGTTTTCTAGATTTTTCTAATTTCCAAACCCCACCACCACCAAAAAAAAAATCTGGATTTTAATGCACAATCTCCCAGTTTTTAAATACTAGCCACTAGTTCAGAAAGACAAAATTTTAAACACTGCACGGGCTACACAAAAGCACATCTGGGAGTGCTAGCTTTGGTGTCTGCTCTTCCTGAAACGCTCTTTTGAGAGAGAATACAAGCATCTTGCTTTCTGCAGGGTGTCTATCAAGAGGGAATGAGCGAATCAGAAACAGAAATACAGGTGGGTCTCCGGGAAGCTAGTGAAGCCAAAGCTTCTTGGTCTCTTACTTGCCTTGGCCTCTTTCCTGGGGTCATGCATACGTTTTATAATGTTTTCCAAAGAAGGAAAGTTCAACTACCATTGATTAGGATTGTTGTCTCTTTCCATTTGGACTCTCTCTCATCTGGATGGCTCTGGACTGGCTGAGGATGTTCTTGGGAAACAGCAAAGAGGAAGTTGAGAATTTATTTCATTTGAACTGAGAAGGGTGTATTTTTGTGGTTAGACAAGTAGTGTCTCAGGTTAGAGTTAGTCCCTCTGGTCATTGCCTGGCATGGTGTGAGAAGTTCTCAAGACCAAATGACTGGATTCATCCGGAGGACAAGCCCTAATCTACATAACTGAGGTCTTGGAATCTTCAAGTGGACTCCTGGAAACTGTGTCAGGGCCTCCTTGGGCCTGCCATCTGGATTTACTTTCTTAAGGATAAGAAACTCCCTCCTGTGCCTGTACCCATTAGCCCACGTGGTAGCCAAAAGTGGCCATTTATAGGAGGGGATGCATTTAATTTGGGCATGTGCATGTGGACAAGGTTCAGGATTGAGCTATGGGTAGTAAAGAAGATGAGAATTCACCTTTGATGAGAATTATAAACCCATAGCTTTCAAGGAAGATGGAGACAACATATATATTTAATAGTTTACTCATGTGATTTGTAATATTTAATTTATAAAGCCTTTACATGCTTAGACGCGTGGCCATTTGTACTCAAGCCCCCAGCCCCATGGTATTAGAAAGGTGCCTAGGTTACTTTTGCTCACTATATTTTGGTCACTATAAAGGAGTAATGGCATGAAAGCAACCATTTTATGATGCTCACAGAATCCATGGGACAGAAACTTGAACAGGGCACAGTTCTTGTCTCTGCTCAGTAATGTCTGGAGACTCAGCTAGGAAGACTGTGTGTGTGGAGGAGGTGACTGTATGGATGACATGGAGGCATTCACACTTTCAGGTCTGGTTCATGCTGCTACGAGCTGGAATCTTACTGGGACTGTCCACTGCAACACCTAAATATGGCCCAGGCTTCCTTGAACCTAAATATGGCCCAGGCTTCCTTGAACCTAAATATGACCCAGGCTTCCTTGAACCATAATGGCCGCATAGGAGTTTAATGTCCTATATGGTCAAGATTCCAAAGGGGGGACCAGCAGTTAGCATAACGGCTATGTCACTGGACTCACATGTAGTCGACCACAGTTCGAGTCCTGGGCCCAGTGGCTTAAACTCACGCTGGATGCGTGTGCATGCGTGCCCAGGATCCTGAGAGGAGAATGGAGGAGAAGGGATTGCAGTGTGACCATCCCCCCTGGGGGGTGATTTCTCACTTTCTGTCTCTCTTTCTGGCGCGCACCCTATAGCAAAAACCTTTCCCCAAAAAATGAGAGAGATTCTAAAGGGGAGTATCCAGGGAACAAAGCTGGAGCTGAACTGCCTCTTCTGATCTGGCATTCTGTTGATTACAATGACGTCACAAACCCTTCCAGATTTAAGAGGAGGAAATGTAGCCCCATCTTTCCTTTTTTTTTTTTTTTTTTTTTTTTTTTTTTTGGGGAGATTTTTTCCAGAGAGATTTTTGCTACAGGGCGCATGCGTTCGCCAGACAGACAGAGAGAGACAGAGAGACAGAAAGCAGGAAATCACCCCCCAGGGGGGATGGCCACGCCGCAATCCCTTCTCCATTCTCCTCTTGGGATCTTGGGTAGGCACGCACACGCGCCTGACGTGAGTTTAAGCCACCAGGTTCAGGACTCGAACCGTGGTTGACTACGAGGGAGTTCAGCAATTACGCTACGAGGGAGTTAGCCATTACGCTAACTGCTGATCCCAAGACCCACCTTTCAAGGAGAGAAGTATCAAAGAATTAGAGGACCATTTTTGTTGTTGTTTTATTTTTGTTTTGTTGGTCTTGGTTTTTATTTTTGATAGCATTTCACCCTACCTTAGCTTATTGAGTAGGTGGCACTCCAGCAATGTGGGACCCAGGGCTTTTGGAGTGAGCTGGGAACTGGGGCCTCACATGTGGCTTCACTCTGTCTAGTAGTACCAACCAGTGCACACTGTCTTAAAACCACCATGCCTTTGGGGTGGGTTGGTGTGGTGATTAAGGGCACTGTAAACCCACATGGCTAACCATGTTTTGAATCCTGGACTGGGTGGCTTGCTTTCTCACCTTCTCTCTCTCTTACTCTGTCCTTCTCTGATCAAATTAAAATGAATATACAAATAAATAAAGTTCAATATTTTTGGGGGGGGTGGGGAGAGGCTTTTTGCCATAGGGCGCGTGCGCTTGCCAGACAGAGAGGGAGAGCCAGAGAGACAGAAAGCAAGAAATCACCCCCCGGGGGATGGCCACGCTGCAATCCCTTCTCCTCCATTCTCCTCTCAGGATCTTGGGCACACACGCACATGCGCCCGGCATGAGTTTTTAAGCCACTAGGTCCAGGACGCGAACCGCGGTCAACTACATGGGAGTCCAGCGACATAGCCATTACGCTAACTACTGGTCCCAATAAAGTTCAATTTTTAAAAGAAAAAAAAAAAAAAACCATGCTTTAAAACCGCTACACAGTTTAACATTTTGTTAGCCAGTCTGGTGTGGGAATGTCTTTCAGGAATACATTTAATGGCAATTCAAAGAATATTTCAAGGACATTTCAAATCCCTTGATATTTTATAGCTCGTTCATGAAAGAACTCTAGTAGAGGTTTTCCCTATACTTAACCAAAACTCTTAAAAACTTATGCCATTATCAGTCATGAATTTCTGAAGCTGACCCTTCTCTAAACTATCAATAAATATTTTTAAACAACCATGCTATAGAAAGACTGATTCTTTCTATTCGCTGTATAGAAAATATCACGAAAGTGTTACCAGTAGAGAAGTGATTAAAATCATGCTGTCCAAAATATATAGGTATTTCAGACTCTTGCATCATCATAGGAACATCCCTGATAATACTGTGGACACAAAGAAATTAAAGGAGAAAAGAAAGACCATCATCACAAGCAAGGGTAGTCCAGGAACACTTCATGGAAGACGAAAGAAAAGATACCAGCAGGCAGAAAGGGAATAGAGGCTGGGAGGTTACAACGACAACTGGTCAACCCATATTGGCTGCCGTATCTGACGTCAGTTCTGATTGGCTTCTGGATCAGTCTCTATGCTGATTGGTCAGTGCTTCAGGGAGCAGTTGGAAAACACTTGCGTATCACCCTCGTCTGTTAGAGTGGACAATATCAGCAAAGGCAGAGGGGAGGAGGAATCTTGGCCCATTTGTCAAACGGTAAGGAAATTAGGCTGGATTGAATCCAGCTGGGGCAGTCACGGGAAATACAGCTGTTTCATGCTAGTAAAGCCAATTGGGAAAACCGTTGGATGTCAAGCAGGGGAATTTATACATAATCCCACAGCAGGGAGTAATGAACCCTTTCAGTAAAGTGATAACAAAATTTTAAATGTATTTTAGGAAGATTACTGCAGTAGTTAAATGAGGATAAACTAGGAAGATGTTTTCTAGGAAATGACTGTAGTAATTCAAGCATGCGCTATCAGATGTGAACCAGGAAGACAGAAATTTAGCCTTGTGTTTGGTTAGCACTTCCTTCACTCCAGTGTTTCATCCTTGGCTGGCAATGGGTCATGTGTTGACCTCTCACACCCTCGGAGAATTATTTGGGACCTTGTTCCTCTTCCAGGGCTGCAGTGAGTACTTCTGTCCAATCAGCTTGATGACTGGGGCATCCAGAGAAACCCACTAGGCTCTCACCATTGGGATTGTGAACATCCTATGGAGTGATCTCTGGGGTTTGGCATTCTGGGATAAATGCACTTCTTTTTCTTTCATCCTATGTCTCTGAGACACAGTTCAGATCCCATTTCCTGTGGGATCAAACAATCACCAATAGACATGGCTCCCTACCTTGTACTGGCTTCCCTCCCCAACTTCCTACCTCATCCTTCCCAGCCTTCTCTTTTCCTCCCTGTGACCACATTCTCACATAAATCACCCATGCATAAATCCATGATCTTCTTTGAGGGAACTCAGGCTTTGATAGAAAAGGATCTTCCAGGGGACCAGCAGTTAGCATAATGGCTCGGTTGCTGGACTCCCATGTAGTTGACCGCGGTTTGAGTCCTGGACCTGGTGGCTTAAAACTCATCCCGGGCACGTGTGTGCCCAAGATCCCGAGAGGAGAATGGAGGAGAAGGGACTGCGGCATGGCCATCCCCCCTGAGGGATGATTTCTTGCTTTCTGTCTTTCTGTCTCTCTCTGTCTGTCTGGCGAGCACACACACCCTATAGCAAAAACCTCTCAAAAAAGAAAGAAAAGAAAAAAAGAAAAGAAAAGAGAAAAGAAAAGGATCTTCCAATTACTTTGAAGTCACCATGGTAGAGCACATGATGTTCTGTTCCCATCAGGAACTTCAAATCCCCATGACTCACCTTTATGTTCAATAGCTAATCTATATGAGCTTTTAGTTTTCAAAAAGTTATCTTCTTTTGAATTTTTAATTTTTAAAAATTAGTTTGAAGGGACCAGCAGATGTCATAGTAGTTACATCACTGGACTCCCACAAGGCCAACCATGGTTCAAGTCCTGGACCCAGTAGCTTGAACATCATGCTGGGTGCATGTGCTTATGTGTCCAAGATCCTGGGAGGAGAATGGAGAAGGAGGAATTGCAGCACGGCCATCTCCCTGAGGAGTGATTTCTCACTTTCACTCTCACTGTGTCTGTCTCTCTCTCCCCGGTGAGTGCATGCACCCTAAACAAATTTGTTTGTAAAACTGACACTGTTTCATATGCTCACCCGTGGTTTAAAATCTGTCAAGGGGCTATTTAGGGTACTGGAAAGAGCAAAGGATTTAGAGTCATAAGGTCTAGATTTGAGTCTTGAGAACTACAAACTCTTGAAGTCTTTAGTATTCCCACCTGTAAAATGTGGACACTAGCTACTCCTACCTTCGCGGGGTTGTTCTGGGTATCACACAGAATCATGAAACCGTGCATGCGTGCTGAGCATTTGCTCATTTGAGCACTCACCGCCCATTCTCCCTTCCTCTTGGTTATATGATCCTAATTTGGGGGGGGTGGATGTTTACCTTTATCTAATGCATCCCAAACTTCACTCCCCCCTCCACCCCATTCCAGCTCCAGGGTAGGCCTTGATTAACTTAACCTAAACAGACTATTGACCACTTTTCGTGACCACACTGATGGGGAAATGTGAGTTTTGTTGGGCGATCTGGGAAGAAACCCCTTCATTCTCATAAGAGAGCAATCAAATGAAGCAGCATGTGACCCTGGAAACTGCTAGACATCATCCTGTGGGCCTGAGGAATGTCAGCCTAAAGTTGAAGCAGACAGGAGGGGCAGTGAGATTGCTGAACTTGTGAATCAAGCCACATCCACAGCCCACGGGACCTTTGATCCTTTCAGATAAGTGAGTCATTAAGTATCTTAGAACAGTTTGAGTCAGGCTTGCTCTAACCTGAGACAGAAAGACCGTCAACTGATAACTCGCAAATCAGTGTGAAAACATTAGCTTGTTTTCTTATTAATGCTAACCTGCAAGAATACTTAGGGTTCGTGGAACAGATCAAGGGAAATCAATTTTTATTTTAATTTAGTATTTCATTTGGAAAAAAAAATAGATCCTTCCCTCACAGTACGTCCAGAAATAGATTCCAATTAGAATGTGTGTGTGTGTGTGTGTGTGTGTGTATAAACACAGACACTTAAAAATTTATAAAACTGAGTGAGTTTTACAGCAAAGAAAGGACTCTCTCAAACCACCACAATATAAAGAAAAGTCCATCATATTTGGCTACATAAATATACAAAAACTGTAATGTGGCAAAAAATAAAGCCATAAAAAATATTTGATTTATATGACAAATCAAGGATTGATATTTTCCATATACAAAGAGTTCTTATGAATCAATAAAAAAAAAACAGATCTCAATAGAAAAATGGGTAACATATTTGATCATGAAATTCAAAGAACATATGAAATGAAGCTCAGCTAAAGATTAAAGTCTATCGGGTTAATAAATGGTTCAAGTAATGTTAATAATTAACATGTTTTATTTAAATAATTATTTTATTGAACTTCATTTATTTATTTAAATTTGACCAGAGGGGGACAGAGTGAGCGAGACAGAGAGAAAGAGAAAGTGAGAAAGTAAGCCACCAGGTCCGGGACTAGAACCACGGTCGGCCATGTGGAGTCCAGCGCCCCCAACCACACACCACCTGCTGGCCCAATAATTAACATATATTGTCACCCTCAGGAACTGGAAGACCTCACAGACATGCACATGTAAGAACGATCATTATAGAGAAACAAGTGAAAAAAAAAATGTCAACAATAGAAAACTGGTAACTTTTCTTACATTGAAATATAGAAAATATGCATTTTAAAAATATTGAAATATGTTGGGGTTCACAAAAAGAGCCAGGTAGGATGGAAGGAAGAATGATAAATTGTTTGAAGTTATCAAATAACATACAGAATGATCCCATTTACATTAAAATACCTATTAGCTTATGCATTGAAAATCTGGAAGTAAATGCCAGTTAGTAGTATTGGTGGTCGCTCGGGTGCAGGGTTATACAGACACCATTTTTTAAAAAAAATAATGATTTTATTTAACTTTATTTATTTAATTATTTATTTACTTTAATTCACCAGAGAGGGACAGAGTGAGAGAGAGGGAGGAAGGGAGAGAGTGAGAAAGCAAGTCACCAGGCCTAGAACTGGAACCATGGTTGGACATGTGGGAGTTCAGTGCCGTTGACTACCACACCACCTGCCAACAGAGACCATTTTAAGTAAAGTTGTTCTTTTTTTTTTGAGAGGTTTTTGCTGTAGGGCTCATGCACTCTCCAGAAAGAGAGAGACAGAGAGACAGAAAGCGAGAAACCACCCCTTGAGGGGATGGCCATGCAATGCTATAGTCCCTTCTCCTCCACTCTCCTCTCAGGATCTTGGGCACACACACACACATGCCCAGCATGAATTTAAGCCACCGGGTCCAGGACTTGAACCGTGGTCGACTACATGGGAGTCCAGCGACATAGCCATTATGCTAACTGCTGGTCCCTATACAAAATTATTTTAAAATAGATCATTAAATATGCACGAATCAGAGGAAGCCAGACTGGGTGGTCTCCTTGGCAATAGGGTGCATTCCTCCCCTCCCAGGCTTCTGAGTGTGCTGTAGCCACTGGCAGGAACCAGGTGCCATATTTGGGAAGGGTGGAAGGAAGGGCCAGGAGCTTCATAGAGGGCTTCCCAGGGAAGTATCAGGGAGGAATATCATTTCCTCAGCCAGGAAACTAGAAATGGCAAACTTTCACAGGGAGCTCCATGTGAACGTAGGGATTTCGTGTCTCGTGTCCATTCTTCTAGGGTAAGCTCCAGCTGAAGGCATTTGGAATTGACTCCCTGCAGTGTGTTAGCAGAAGTCATTGGTACTTTTCCATGACCTGGCTGTGAAGGCCGTAGGTCACCTCTCCTCCTCCTTCCCCTCCACTGACCAGTCAGGGGTGTCTTGCGCCTAATCTACTCCCTCCCTGCCCCTTTGGACTTGCCTGTGGACTGATCTGATAACATGCCAATCCTGTCATGAGCAGCCAAAGTCTGATGTGATCCCATGAGCTAATGCCTTTGCTGTTGACATTCCCGGCCTCCACTCCCACCCGCAGAAGTGGAGTTTGGAGTCTAGATAACAAAACCACAGGGCACATTACACAAACAAGCTTCAGGCTCCTTTGAGCCATGTCTTGAGATCTACTTTGATAAGTGATGAGAAATTCTTTTCATTGAATCCTGGCCCTGTACAACTCACAAGAATCAGAAAGATCAAGTTGTAATTTTTCAGATGAAAAAAACTAAAGCAAAAAAAAAAAAAAAAAAAGGTACGTGCTTCATAACCTAAGCCCACTTCAGTCTGTGTGAGAGCCAGCTTTCATGCTTTTCATGTCCTCAGGGACCTTGGCCTCTGGCAGCATGGTCCCCACTCTGTCATGCCACTTCTTTGGCCCCCACTTCTCCAGCTACAGGATTCTAAAGCTTCAGGAAGTGAAAAACGAAATTTGTAAAGACTGAACTTTGACAACTTCATTTTATTTTATATTTTATTTTATTAATTGATTTTGTGAGAGATTTTTGTGATAGGTTGCATGTGCTCACCAGAGAGACAGAAAGCGAGAAATCACCCCCCAGGAGGGATGGCCACGCCGCAATCCCTTCTCCTCCATTCTCCTCTCAGGATTTTGGGCATGCATACACACACGCCCAGTGTGAGTTTTAAGCCACCAGGTCCGGGACTTGAACTAATGGAGAATTGAAAATGAAGAGATAGCACTGAATGCTTTTACTACAGAGTCTAGTGTTAGCATTATCAGTAGTGTGTCAGCATCATATAATTACTGTGGCATTTGTTAATTCATTCTTATTCATTTATCACACATAGAGCATGTATGTCAGGCTCTAGAGCAGGAAAAACGAAAACACACGACAGTAGCAAGGGGTCATATAACCTAGCAGTATTATTAGGCCTTAGATCCAGTCAGTATGGCCCTGTGCACTAGATGCCTGGCCTTTGATCTTGGCAACTATTGTACAGAGAAGTATTATGTCATTGCAAAATCCTCAGTTTCCTGAAGACCCTCTGGCATTATTCAAGTGCAGTTCGCTCTTGGATGCAAACCCTGTGAATTGGTGGCTGTGGACAGTGGTCACATGGATAATCTCAGAGAGCCATGAAATACAAGAAGTTTCACCTTTTACATTTCATCTGCCTGGAATCTCAACATCCTTATCATCACACATCGTTAAGTCCTGCTGGAGCAGACAAGATGCAACATCAATTAGATAGGAAATCCAGTTCTAAACCCTGGGGCAATTAGAAACAATCCCAAGGCTCAGCAAAAATCCAGCTAGTTAATTTTGGTTACAAAGAAAGCAAAACTAGGTGGTAGTTACACTCTCCAACCAGCACATTTTACAAAGTCTGACTGCACCGCACTGCAGCGGCACAGCAGTAACTCTGCACCGCAATGGTGGAAGCCATAGAGAAGACACGGATTCAGTTCCTGGGCCTACTCGTACATACTGGGAGTGTGTATGTGACTGTCATCCCGGCTGGTGGGGAAGACAGGAGATCACAGTGTGAAATCTTTTGAGAGTGTTTGTCTTTCTCTCGCGCGAAAACAAATAAGCTTTTTTTAAAAAATTGTGTCTGAGAATGGCTTTCCTGATGTCAGAATGGCCACCCATGCGTGTCTTGAAGAAGCTTTGGGGAAAGCCCAGAAGCAGGCTGCTTGGTGTCAGGACTTTCCACACCCTCACAGCCAGTCATGTTGCCAGTGAGTCTGAGCGTGCACCAGGGAGCGTGCTCCGAGTCTGCTGAGAGTGACTCCACTGAAGCCAGTGGCAGAGGAAGAGGCCCGGGTGGGGCTCTCCCGTTGGCTTCCTCCCATCCCCGAAATCACCTGCGACACTCTGATGGGAACAAATCCTTCGCTTCTACCTTAGATTCGTGTTATAGAGAGAAGGTGCAGGCTGGTTTTAAAAAATTGGGTGACGGGCCAGCAGACGGCATAGCAGTAATGTCACTTGTCTCCCACATGGTTGATTGTGGTTTGATTCCCAGCTCCAGTGTCTTGAAAATCACATGTGCATGGGTGCCCAAGATCCTGGGAGGAGAATGAAGGAGAAGGGATTGGGGTGTGGCCATACCCTCCTGGGGGGTGATTCCTGTCTCTGTCTCTCACTCTGGCGAGAACATGTGCCCTAAGTCAAAAACCTTTAAAAAAGAAAAATAGCGACAGGTCACTTAAAACCAAGAATGTTGAAGAAAGTCCAACATTTAGATGTAATGGTAATTATACTAAACTTCACATCCTATATAAAAACTCCAAATGGACTATTTTAAATTAAAAAAAAATAAGTAAATAATTCTCAATACCAAGTGCTGATGAGAAGGCAGAGCAACTGGAATTTGCGTATATTGCTGAGAATGCAAAATGATACCGAGTTTGGTAGATTTAAGTTCAACACATACCATGTAACCTAGCAATCATATTCCTAGACAGAGAAATGAAAACAAATCCACCTAAAAACCTCTGCGTGAATGTTGATGAGCAGCTCTTGCACTCAACAAGAGCTAGAAACAGTCCCTCTATCCTTCAGTGGGTTAATGGATAAGCTGCGGTGTTTCCATCCAACGCGCTAGCACTGGGCAATAGAAAGGAACGGACTGCTGATACATGCCTGGACAAGGAAGAATGCAGAGGCATGTGCGGCGGCGTGAAATAACTCAGACTCAAAAGCTAATGTGCGGTGGGACCAGTAGTTAGTGTAATGACTATGTCACTGAACTCCCACATAGACGACCATGGTTCGAGTCCCGGACCTGGTGGCTTAAACTCACACCAGGCGCATGTGCTGGGCTGATGGAACTGTCCTGACTGTAAGGCTGATGACGTGACGTTATGTGTGTAAAAACTTATAAGGAGGGGTCCAGCCGGTGGCATGGTGGCTAAAGGCGCTGGACTCCAACATGGCCGACTGTGGTCCGAGTCCTGGACCTGGTGGCTTGCTTTCTCATTTTCCCTCTCTCTCTCTCTTTCACTCTGTCCCTCTTACCAAATTAAAATATATAAGTAAATAAATAATTTTTTTTTAAAAAACGTATAGGCAGCCATATCAACAAAGGAGTACATTTTATCATATTTAAACTTTTTAAAGTTTAAGACTTCTCAAAGAGTTATGTTATGGGAGGGCTTCAGCAATGCCTCTCATCTACTCCATAAGGGAGCACCAACAGCCATCCATAAAGCACCCTTCCTCCTCCTCCCTTCCTTCCTGCAGGTTAAACCAACAACCAAGACACCCAAAGGAAGTCAAGGGCCTCGGGTTCTCCTGAATAAATGGTGATACAATAACAAAAGATGCCATTATGGCCAGGGCTACGGAGAATCGGCCAGAGTCCAGAATCTCACCAGCTGGGGAGGTGCACTGCCTGCACCCCCTAACATGCAGAACCAGGTTCTGTGGGTCTCAATGGGCCTCACCCTTAACCCTCAGAAAATCAGCTCACAGGAGCTGGTGAGAGTTTCTGAAGTCCGTGTCAACTGGGATTAATAACGGGGATATTCCATCCCATGCGTCCTGACCAGCACCTCGGAAAATGAAGTGAAAGATGGGTGTGATTTAGAGTGTGTCAAAAAGTATAGGCATCTAGGCATTTGTCAACACTTACCTAACTGTATAGCCACCAGAAAGAGCAAATTGTACTGTAGGTACATTTTTTTAATAATTATTTATTTATTTTTTATTCATCCATTGACTTTTTAATTTGACCAGAGAGAGACAGAGGGTGAGAGAGAGAGGAAGTGAGAAAGCAAGCCACCAGATTCAGGACTCGAACCCCGGTCGGCCATGTGGGAGTGTCCAGCGCCTTAACCACCACGCCCCCTGCTGGTCCCCCTGTAGGTACATTTTTAAAATAAAGTGAAGAAAGCTTTAGGGAAAAGCCTAACTCAGAGTGTAACTCGGGATGCATTTTAAGCAGCTAGCTCTTGCTTTTATCTGGCCCCCAATGAAAGTGATAGATGGCAAGAATGCCTCAAATGAAGTTGTTTCTTCGTGATTTGATTTATTACTGCAGTGACAGAAAATGCCTGACAGAAAATGAAGTCTGCAGAGAGGTTAAAAATGGAGGAAGTGAAAGGAGAGGCCTGTCCTGTGAGGAGCCTCAGTATTCATTATTCTGTTTATCACCGCATGGCTCTCCTGTTGTCGGGGTAGCATCTTCCATGTCACAAGCTGTTCAAAGTATAAACTCAGTGATGAGCCAAGTAACATACACAATGGTAACTAGATGCTATCGAAATGTCCCTGGAACGGGTGGCTTCTTAGAGGATCATGATGGCTCTGGGAAATGGTTGACTAGTCCAGTTTCCCATGACTTGGAAGGAGTGGGTTTTGCAAAAGCTCCAGGGTGCTCCAGGGTCATGGTCTCTGGGACAAGCCATTGTGAGCAGACATCCGGGGTGGTCTGGCTGCTGCAAGGGAGTTCTCTATGAATGGCTCAAAGTGAAGGGAGTAAGTCCACTTTCTGGCTCCATGGGTTATTAGGATGCTGTCAGAGACACCATGAGTAATCCAGTGAACATACATATAGGCTTCAAATCATGCAGTTGGGCATGTGGGATCTAGACACCTTAATCTTCATGCCATCTGCTGGCCTGGGATAATCCCTTTAAAAACACCATCACTAGAGTCCTCCGTTTAGTGTGGAGTGACAGCCAGCACCTTTCTGTTTTGCTTCATCTTTAGCATTCCCCAAGAGTGCTTGTCTTTCACCAGCTCACCCAAAGTTAGTGTTAGGTTCAGGAATTTTCTAGAGCACTTCGGTGTCTCAGAATGTAATTCCCTGAATGTTTCGTTCTCCACCCACTTCAGGTGCCAAGAAGTCGGTATTTCAAGGCAATCATCCCTCCACCCTTTTCCTCAGCCTTGAGCCCTCTAATGGCCATCCTAGAAAGTAACCCTGGGAACAGGCTTTCCCGTAATTGTGGTCACCATGGAGCTCCAGTCAAAGACCAGTTAAGTCAACACTCTGACAAAGGCTTTATTGACCCAGGATCACCCCACAGTGGGAGAAAATAAAGACTTCGAGGCAATTTTAGCTAGTCTCACTATTGTCCCTTTCCCAGGACCCAAACCATGTGCTTTCACAGTTGGATAAAGCAAACCAGTGATCTTTAATGGCAGTGCCAGAAACGAGAGGAGGGGCCTGATAAGGTACAGAGTTGCTTCACGATACTTTTTATTATTATTATTATTATTATTATTTAGATTATTTTTTTTGTTTGTTTGTTTTGCCACAGGGCACACATGCTCATTAGAGAGAGACTGAGAGAGGGATAGTGAGAAGTCACCCCACAGGAGGGCCATGCAGCAACCCCTTCTCCTCCATGCTCCTCTCAGGATTTTGAGCATGCACACAAACACACCTGGTGTGATTTTTAAGCCATCAGGTCTGGGACGCCCAACTGTGGTCGGCCACGTGTAAGTCCAGCGCCTTTACCACCGCGCCACTTGCTGGCCCTTCACCATGCATTTTTTTAAAATTATTATTTAATTTTTATTTATTCATTCATTTATTTTAATTTGATTCAGAGAGAGAGAGACAGAGAGAGACAGAAAGTGAGAAAGCAAACCACCAGGTCCAGGACTCGAACCATGGTCAGCCATGTGGGAGTGTCTAGTGCCTTAACCACCATGCCACCTGCTGGTCCCTCACCATGCATTTTTAAATTGCCTCCATGGGCTGTGACCAAACCAGGCAAGTTCTGACTGGAGAAGTCTTCTGAAGTGTAGTATAAAACTCACAACTGGGACCAGCAGTTAGCGTAATGGCTATGTGGCTGGACTCCCATGTAATCAACCGTTCGCGTCCCGGACCCAGTGGCTTAAACTCATGCCAGGCGCATGTGCGTGCGTGCCCAAGATCCCGAGAGGAGAATGGAGGAGAAGGGATTGCAACATGGCCATCCCCCTGTGGGGTGATTTATCACTTTCTATCTCTCTGTCTCTGTCTTTCTGGCAAGCGCACGCACCCTGTAGCAAAAATCTCTAAAAAAACAAAAACAAAAACAAAAAGAAACAACTATTGCACTTTGTAAAAAAATGGGATAGGAGGGTCTTCCAAAAACTGGGTCAGTGTCACACTGTAATGGTCTCTACTTGTCTCTACTTTCCTTCATGTGACTA